AGAATTTCACTGAAAAAATAAAAGGAAAACTGGTTATAATATCTTTTGGATTTTTGAGCAAAACTATGATGTACGTTGCTTTTTTTTAGCGGATACTCGCTATAGAAAACACAAAATACAGAAACTCATATGTGGTAGCAAACCAACAAATGATTCATTGATACATAACTTAATAATTTATAAAGTTTGTCACAGAGTGACCTCATAAATTGAGATAAGAACTTGGACTCCAAACTCAGTTATAATGAAATTCTTATCTTCTTGTTTCAGCCAGTAGGGGATTTAGGGGTGGCAGAAGGGCAGATGTCATCCTTAGGGCTACGCAAAGGTACCCCTTTGGGTACTATTTCAAAGCATCCTTTTTTTACTAACTGGCACTAAAACATTTCTAGAGGCGCAATCAGCGCCAAGATAACTTAATCTTAAATGAGCTTCGAAACAAACGCAGTTTCCTAGTCAAAACATTTCCAAAGGTGCCTAAAAACGTTTTTTGACTGTTTCATGTATTTGTGTATGCAACTCAGAAACTTGTAAAAAAAAAACAGGTTCGTTGTGGCTAAAAACAGGTTCGTTTTTTGGTAAAAAAAAACAGGTTCGTTGTGGCTCAGAAGAACTCAGAAAACAAATTTGTTCAACTTACAAAAAAGTTGTCGAATTTTCAATTTTTCTTTTGAAAATCAGATAGCGCATGCCTCCCCCTTGCCCCCTCGAGAAATGTTCAATTGTGCTCCTGATATATCCACTGGAATTTGTATTTAGACACTGACTATTTTAATATTGCAGTTCAAGTTGAAAGGATTGGAGTCTCAATAGCAGATGGATTAAGAATTTTTAAGTGATAAATAACTTCAAGAAGCATAGTCTGGCTTCAGAAAAAAACTAAGAAAATCAGAATTTTAGATAACAAATTGAAAAAACTCGGATTGTTCTTTTCATGATATCACAACTAGAGCTTAGAATAATTATTTTGAACAAATGTGACTGCAATGAACCACAGAAAAGAAAGTGTTTCCTCAAAAAATGGATGCCTCAGTTAAACCTAATATAATATGATGTTATGTTAAAAACTTTCAATTTTGGTCGATTATTTTTTTTTGACTTTATGACCTGTTGCATCAACGAAGATGAAAAAAAAAACTGATTTAAAAGCTTCGTTTGTTTTCAAAATTTGTAAGCAAGGACAACTGTAGTCGGAATTCGGAACCAAGTTTAATGCTTCAAGGAAACCAGCTACTCTGGTATCACTTAGAACTTGATTTTGCATTCAGTTTTGCAAACAATATCATGAGACACAATACTGGCTACGGCATCGCCTTGAAAAGCGCTATATTCTGTGTTCCTGATTAACATACAAGATTTAACTAGAATAAGGTAATAATTTTTTTTTATTAAGTTTTGGTTAAATTACAAAAAGCTTAAATTTTGGATTTAGGATTTCTTTTTTGCGGTTGTTAATTCTTTAAGTTTTCAGAGCTATTTTACTTTTTGGATAATTGCAACAAATTTTCTTGAAAAATAAACAGTACAACAAAACTCAAATGTTTGATAATAGCAGTATGGTTCACTTCGCATGCAAGTAGGCTCTTACAAGTGATGTCTGTTGTTCATTGTTATTGTTATTGTTATAATGAGATCATATCTGATTTTCTGATGCAATGCCCGGATGATAAAAAATGGTAGTCATACAATTCTCATACATGGCCCATCTTTACAATTGCTTGAAAGTTTTGAATAGCTTTCTCCCAATTCATTAAGGCAAAGCATTAAGCGTTATGTCATATATGAAAATTCTATGACAAATTTTCTTTCTTAAGCTTTCAAAATCAAATAACAAATATCCATTGGGCACAACTACATTTTTAATTTTGTAAAAATTTGAATTATGAGATCAATACAAGATGTTGTAGTTTTGTGGTATCTCAATTAAAACTGATGATATATGGCAATCGCTGAAAATGTTATACGAATAAATCACTTGATTTCTTACAATCAGGCGCAAAAAAAATCAGCTACTTTTTTTCGAATTGAAAGTTTTGAGTAATTTTTCAATAACCAAAAACTTTAGCACTGATGAAAACTTTTTTCATTAATTTCACTATAAAAATAAAACGTTTGAGTGGAACTATGATATACAAGTAAGCAAGTAAGTATCTATATAAAACAAAAACGGACAAGGTCACATGTGACATCACACAACTAAATTTCAAAAAGTTGGTTCTGAGTGTCCTGGAAAAACTGAGATAAAAATTCTTGTTTCAGCTAGTAGGGGGCTTAGGGGTGTTAGGTGTACTTCCGTAAGACTACACGAAGGACCCATTTCGGTACTATTTTAAAGCATATTTTTGTGCTAACTGGCATTAGAACGTCCATTTTGACCGTTTTTGTAACTTTGCATGCGGCGCAAAAATTGTGGTCAAATTATGTTCTTTTTCTGGCTAAGAAAAACTCAGAAACTTAAATTGGTCAACCTAAAAAAGGTCAATAAAATATTCAATACGCCGCTACGCCCCTTACCCCCCGGAGAAATTTTAAATTTTGCTCGTGATATATTATCAATATTATACTTTGAAGTATACAGTTCAAAATTTCAAAATTTATGATTTCGATTCAATTTATTCACAAAATCATAGCAGAACTTCGCACAACTTCTGATGCAAAACAAACATAGCATGACAAACATGCAGATTGAAATTGAGATGTCTTGAAAAAAATTGACTGAAAAAGATGATAAAAAATGAAACGAATTGTTATCAATGCCGACAATAGTTTGGGCAGAGAAACCAATTCAGCCAAAAAATAATGTTTCAATATTTCTCCAAAAAAAGCAAAAAAAAACTTTAAGGCCGAATAATAAAAAACTAAGAATCATAATAAAAAACGAAATTATACAATATGGGAGCTAATAAATTTGAAATCAACAAAAACACTGAGGCGAAGCTCAGCTTAATACATTTTGCGGTACAAAATTGAAGTCAAATCGATAAAAACTGAAATTGAAAAAAAATTTATAAAATTTTTTGTAAAAATTCATAACAAATGCAAGAAAACAGCCCAAAAGACCGGAACAAAGTTACCTGCGCCATTAACAATTTTACAAAAAGCTTTCGGATTGCTACAATGAATGGGGGAACTAACCTGGCAAACATAAGCAGACAGACGAAAATTCAAAATTGCCAAAAACGTTCAATTTATAAAACTTCCAAAAACTTTCAATTTCCAAAATATAAAATTGCCGAAATTTTCAGTTTACATAAAAATTTTCTAAGTTTTTTGGTCCCAAATGCATTTAAGCCTTCGCGCTTTGTCGTCTCAAGCATGGGTGTTACAATAACTTGAAATAAAATTTAACTTCAAAAAAATCCGGCTACCGAAATTAGGTCGACAAAAAGAAACAGATGGACGATAGCCCAAAAAGGCGCAAAAATACTAATTTGCTTTAAAAACAAAAACAAGCTCCAACCAGATTCGAACCAAAAACCTTTGCCGTTTCCAGCTGACGCTTTGCGCCTCAGTCAAATTGAATTTGAATTTATAATAATAAAACAGGTAGAGTAATTAAACAAGGAATCGAGTCCAGTAAACAAAGATATTTACGGGAAATAGACTAATACCGATTGCAATACCCTGATTTATCACAAGGGTTAGAAAGTATAAAATATAACAGTTATTTAGAAAGCAATTATGCCCATGATAAATCTGTTGGCTGACAAAAGTGCAAATTTAGGAAAATGATTCGATCAGAAAGTTGAGAAAAGTATTCAATTTGTTGGAGAAATTTTGTACAAGAATAAGTCACTGTTCCGATTGATAGCGCTTGCTAACCGCAAGCACCGTAATTGCATACCTATTAATTTTGTGCACCTTGTTCATGGGAGCAAAAAAAACTTAAAAAATTTTCATTTTTTTTATTGTTATTAAAAAAAACTAAATTCAAGTTCCACATATGATTTTGTGATTCTTTCAGCTCCACCAATGGGGATTCAGAAAATTGGAAAAAAGTTGAACCTTTGAAAAGAGTCCATGCTACGGGAACCAAACCAACAAAAAACAGACAGACGATAAACCAAAGAAGCAAAAATTCTAGTTTCAATAAAAGTCCTTTATTGTCTCAAGCAAATTTGAACTTAATCTGAAGCAAGATGAAACATCGGCAAAATCTTGCGATGAAAATTATTTACGGGGAAAAGTATTCAATTAAAAATAAAAATCTTTGCAAAGTTTATTGACTTTTATTAGGATATACTAATAAGCTGTGAAGTGATGCTTTAATGAATTTTTTTCAATTTTTTGCGAATAAAAAAAGCAAAATCATGCCCAAACTGTTCTTTTTTGTTGTTCAGCAATCGGATATGCTGGTTCCAGTTATACGTGGAAGTTCATCAGATCTTTGCTGTCTACTTATAAAATAAGTACAGAAAATGTTTTTAAACCAGTCACGTCACAGAACGTTACTAAAGAGAAAACTAAAACTTAAATGACCATTAAAATCTGGCTTACAAGGGTTAGTCACTTTTAAAAAGCAACTTACAATTTTTTTTGTATGTTCCGCATATATGTTCAAGTATCAAAGATTAGGACAAAAAACTGAACTTTCAGAAAATTCCAGCCCGTCTAAGCATAGTCCAAATTTCATATTTCCCAACATTCAAAAATGAGTTATTTTGTTGTAAGTTCATAGATCTTCTGCGAGTCGCAGAAACAACAATTAATTGTATGATGTTCTTTGCGACTCATGGCCGTTTCTTTGCGTCCAAAATTTTCACGTGGTAACACTATTGCAGCTGAAATTGGTCAGGCTGTGGTAGACCTGCAGCTAGAGGTTAAGTGAAAGCTCGTCTCACAAACTATCATTTTCATGGCAGTGGAGCGAATACACGATCTGACGCGTTCAAAGCCAACGCCTTACCACCATGCTAAGTGCTGACGTTTCTTTAAAGGTACAGCTTAATAAAAATAAACGTATTAATAGATACTTTTTATTATAAATTGTGATACAAAACGATTGTTGAAATTGATTAAGAAATATGCAAAAATAGCTGAAGAGACTATTGCGTATGTATTGAAACAGTAGATGATTTCATGAGTTTGAAATAATATAGTTTGGTTTTTCGCCGGCTTGTTGAAATGTCACTTTAATGGCACATGTATTAACCTATAGCGTTGGTCCACGTTTCAATACATAACGTTTCCAAGTCTTCTGGCAGGAGTTTTACATCGCCTTCGACATTCTTTCTTCTGGTGACGAAGTTCTGCAGCCTCTCAGTGTCTAGTCTGCTCAGGGGGTTCCCAGGGTCCAAGTGGGAGTTGTAGTCGCCCCTGGATTGCACCCAGGTGTGGTTCTTGCACAGTTCCAGGGGCAGTCGTTTGTTGGAGGGTGCTCGCAGCAGATTCTGGATGAAGTCTTGCGCCTCGAAAGAGATGTTAGAGAAATGTTCCTGGGAAATCGAAAAAAGATAAGAAAACTTATCGTACAAAGGAAAGGAACAACATAAGAGCTGCTCGGCGTTTTACGAAGAAACGCTGCTGCGACCCTGCTTAAGCCTTGTACATACATTTTTCGGCTATTTTTTGGTTTGGGTCATGTTGCCTCAACCTCAAGCATTGATCCGACCATGGTGAGCCTCGATCTTTTGACCTTTCGATATATAACCACTTCACCACCGCTCACTTAATATTTGATGGATCTCTGTTACTCGCCCTCTTATCGCACTCAATAGTTCCTAGGAAATAATTGCAACCTCTAAGAAGAACTTAATCAATGGTTAAGCATATGTGATTATTGCTCCTAGTAACGAATCTCCCATTTTGATATGGGGAGGCAATAATTCAAGAGATCCATAAAAATGACTCGATTTGAAAGTTTAAAAAAACCATCTTACTAACCCGCTCTACTGTTATTTGGAAATTGACAGTGAGTATGAGCTGTTTTTTCTAAGGTGGTGTGGTAGCAGAATCTATCAACTTTGACAGCATAGTTTAAGTACTCTCGTAATTTGGATACTCATCCAAATTTTTCAAACCAGAAAGATTTCATGTATACTCAGCCAAAAAATAGACGAAATAAAACTATTATTTAAACGTTTGCAAGAACATTCTTTATTTTTTTGCAAAAGTTTGAATAATAGTTTTATTTCATCTATTTTTGGCTGAGTTTATATGAAATCTTTCTGGGTTGAAAAATTTGGTCGAGTATTCAAACTGACAATTAAGCTGATTTGTTAAAATTTAGCGAAAGAATTTTAAATCCCCCCTTAAATCATTATTGTTGCCGTTTCAGACTTTAGAGACCCATTTAATTTTTTTTCTTCATTTTTTTGTGAAATATATCAAGGATTTTGTGGCTCGAAATCTTGTCGCGATCATTCCGTGAGAGCGAAATACAGCTCAACTTGTATCATTTGGACATGCGTCAGGAATCTGGAGGGTCCGGTGCAAACATCCGATATGTCAAACATCCGAACTTATTTAATAATTATGTAATTTTATGACGTTAGAATTTCAAAAACAAGCCGTAGTTCAATTATTCGATTCCAATTTAGCCGACTCTCAATTTAAGGTCCGGTGGCGATAACCGGCTCTAATTTTCATATAGAGTCCTACCCTCTGTTGGCAAGCTCGCAACATGCAGGCGCGACCGCGGCGATCCGCCTTCAATCGACCACTATAGCATCTGTTGAACGAAAGGTATAAATCGGATCTTTGCCCTACTTTTTGAAAAATGTCGGGTGTTTGCCCTAGTGAAGCTGTTTTTCGGATGTTTGCATCACTTTTTGGTTTTTCGGATGTTTGACACATCGGATAGTTGCGCGGCATCCGATCTGGACCCGTGCTTGAATAGTGAGATGTTGACTTGCCTTGCTGAAGGTGACATCGGCAGTGACGATGTTGAGAGCCGTCTGGTGTGAGTCATCCTGGTCTAAGAAGGGGGAGAGGCCACTGAGGAGGACATAGCCCACACAGCCCAGACACCACACATCACTCGCACAAGACACCACTACAGGGGGGGCAAAGAGAAAAGAAGAATAAGAAGAGACAGTGAGAGTATTGCATGATGAAAATATGAGAAACTGGTTTACTTTCTCCAGTTCTGATGACATGCTCAGTTCTTTTAACATTTCTCGACCATCGATAATCCTTGCATAAAACGGTCAATCTCGTAGTCGAATTGTTATGAAAAGTTCTGATACTTGCATGAACTAATGAAACTTATTTGCGTTTTACATTATACATAACCATGTAAAATAAATGTCTGCTGTGAGGCTGACTTAGATCAACCGCACGATCACCCCCCCCCCCCCCCCCCACCCCCGAACCCCACTAAGTGATTTACCGTAGAACGTCCTCACCAAGCATGTTTTAATTCTGAAAAAAAAAAGAATTTCAAAGAAACGCGCAAAATATTTTTATTTTGAAACTTTTCTTTCAATTTGCTTTTATTAACAAAATGCCGGCTAGCATTTTCGATGTATGTAAGTCAACCCTGGTACTAAACAAATATCACTTTGAGTTTGCAATTGCTAATTTATTTTATGCACTTATCCCATATTAGAAACCAAAAAATACAAGACTGCTCGTATCAGGGCGAAGCCCTGAATGTTCCGACTGCCTTTTAAGGTTTATGGAGCAGCAGTAATAACATAAAAAATTTAAATGAAATAAAATAAAATGAAACTTTTTTTTCTAAAATTTGAAGTTTTTAATGAAAATCATCCCCCCACACGCCATTTAAAGTACAAAAAGATAGATTACGTTCCTTGTAACAAATCAATTATGGCAAATAAACTTCGTTCAACCAATTTGGAACGATTTATAAGACGGATTAAATCTCCGCTTAAGCGTTAATAACGCGAGTTATATCGCGCGTTAATTGTCCCAAATTGGTCAAAATGGCCAAAATGGCAATCTTTTAACCCTCATAACTTTACAAAAAATGACCACAGGTGAAATATTTTTTCAAATTTAAGCTCAGGACAACAATACCTTTTGAATGATATAAAAAAATTCCGTCAAAAATTGCTAGTTAAAAAGTCGAAATTTGTCTGAAGAAAAAAAAACCCACCCGAGCACAAATATTCCGTTACTTTCGTATCGAAAGTCGGAACAACTAGATGCAAATTATTTAGTACAAAACTGATCCAAAATAGCCATGTTTTTTGCAGTAATTGAAGCATAAGATATGAGCAAAATAAAAATCTCAAGCACCGTTTTGCAATTTTGCATTTAACAATCGATATGCTCCAATTTTTATAGACACAGGAACTTTCAGATTTGCAAAAAATAATCACAGAAGAAGGAACTGTTCTTTAGGTCTTGAAATTTTTTGAAGATCATGAATATTTGCCAACTTATAGTTTTGCCGACTTGACGTTTTGCCAACATCAGAATTTTTCTGAAACGCAATGATTGGATTGCAGAATATCTTCCTATATATCGCAATTTTTGATTAATTGCTTTCAAGACTTCTATGCAGTTTATTATTTAGAACTGATATAGTTTATTGAATCAATTTTTAAGTGTACTGTAACTATTGTAGTCTAAAATTTTTATAAAACAAAAAAATCAGGTGGCCAAAAAATCTATTTCAATTGATTTTAAATGGACTACAATTAATTCTAAATTCGATAAAAACAACAGATTATAATCAATTTTTTTTCATTTTGTTCTCTAGGTACAATATGGGAATCTACTACATTGATAACATTTTAGGCCACAAAAAGCCATTATAAATTATTTCTTTTCCTTTTATTAGATGCGAGTTACTCTGGACCAAATTAAAATCCCCCGAAACAGTTTGAGGGAAGGCAGATAATTTGGTATTAAGTTGGAACTTTCAGCCAATCAGAATTGAAAAGGTCTTAGCAATTTTAATCTGAATTAAATTCTGTGGTGGAATATCTTAACTTGGGTCTAAGTAGAAGTTTTCAGACAATCTAAATCGAGTGTTCTACATGATTAGTTTAGCAACACAAATCCAATTTAGACATGGGATTGAAAAAACCCAATTGATCTATATAAAGAGGCATACAAAACTGCTCGTATCGGAAAAAAGCTTTCCGACTGCCCTTTAACTGGTCTCGAAAAGTTTTTGGTGAATTAAATATCGGCGAAACTACGAATTTTAGGCTGAGTCGTGTATGGAATTAATAATACCAATTAGCTTGTTACCTCAATTCAATTTGGAACAATTTTGTAGTGTGTGTTAAGTCACCACGTGTAAAAAATAAAACTTGCAGTTTCGAACGCTTCATGTGCCTGAAAAAATAGTGAAGAATTTTGATCAAAAATTCTCAAAATTTGATGAGAAATTCCTCAGTCAAACATTATCTTGTAGCTTGTACTGTTTGTAATTTATTGTGACGTACGAACCCGTCTCCTTTCTCCTTATACATTATGTCATTCAATTTTTTTTTTACATATCCTAAATTTTTGATACTATCAAATAAGTATTTGAGATTCTTTTCCACTTTTCTAATTTAGAATAAAATGAAAATTGGCATAAGATGCAAACTACCAATTATGATCAGGTTTGTATTTCTTACTCTACATCGTAACCCATCGTAACATAGCATTCACTGATAACAAGACTGCTCCTATCATGGTAAAGCTTCTAATGTTCCGGCTGCATTTTAATTTCTCTTATTAGTTTAAATTAAAACAAATTATGAAATTTTCGAAAAAAAAGAAAAAATTTTAAATGAAACTTGTTTGAGTTTTTTTGGAAATAATCATTCCACGCGCTTTGAATAGTACAAAATTATATAATTTGCATATAGCAAAGCATTAATTAGACCAAAGCGCATGCCTCAATCCATTTGGAACGATTTCTAAGACGGATTAAATCTCCGCTTACATGGTAATAGCACGAAATTTATCGCGCAATAATTGACGCAAACTGACCATATTGGCAGTCTTTAAACCCCCTTATTTTAAAAAAAAAATAACTAAAGGTGCAATAGTTTTTCAAATTGGAGCTCAGTACAACAAAAATCAGTGTCAAAAATTGCTAGTCAACAAGTCGAAATTTGTCAGGAGAAAAAAACATCCCGAGCACAAATGTTCCGTCATTTTCTTTCCTCTAAACAGCCAGAGCAATAACACACCGCAACTATAAATTAGAAATATTGAAAAGTGGGTTTTGTGGGTTTCGATCCTGTTTTGAACCTGCCTTTTTTGCAGAGTATCTCGGGTGGTTTGAACTCGAAGTTGCCATAGACTGGTGCCACGTAGTACCCATCATAGATGCTCACAGACTCCCCAAAGTCACAGATCACAAGACTGAAACAGAACAGAACCAATGACTAACCTCATTTTAGATCTTGCTAAGAAGTTCTTTCCACATGTAACGCCTCCTTCCTGGTAAAAAAAAACTTTCTACCCTTGAAAAGATCTAATTTAGCGCTTAAGTCATACATTTTAAGTGTTGTATGAAGACCTTACCTGATGCCCCAAATTGTAATAGGGACAAGTAGTGAATAAGATTTCTATTTTTCGGGGGCTATTATCTTAGCAAAATTACCGAATAGCAGAAAATTACCAACAAAAAAACCATAATTTTTTCAAAACTCTCATTCCATTTGTTGTGAAAATTTTTTGACTGACTGAATACTGCTTAGTTGAATACTCATTTTGATTGATTTTTGCAAATTTCTGTTCTGCGAACCTTCTGCCTTTAGGAATGCCCCAAACTTTAATTTAGAAACCCGTATGAAGGTAAGTTCTTCTGGATGAAGTTAAGCACCGTCGTCCCAATTACTCGCATTGGATATTATATAAAAAAAACCATTTACTCGTCCCGTCGTCCCAATTACTCGCATTGGATATTATAAAAAAAAACAAATCAAACGTATTATGTTTGTTAAACATCAGATTGGAAACTAGTAAGAAAATTGGATCTGACATTACTCACTGTTGGCCCAATTTTTCATTTTGTCAGATACGCTTTCCTCAATTCTGCTTTTTAAACTAAGCTAGAAACTATTTGAAGTTGTCACGCGGAAGAAGAGGTTGAGTTTTTAATCAATGGGGGAGCAGGTTTCAGTTGGTACAAATTTCCGCTAAAGCCCAAAAAACTAGCTAAACTGATCGTTTGCGATAATTTTCACTCAAAATTATGGGGATCTATCAGTTTTCTCGTTTTTCGTTTTTCGTTTTTTTTTAAAATCAACTTCATGAGAGGAAAAATTTCAAAGAAAAAAGCTAATTTCTTTAGGCAGGCTTATTTGGGTGTAATAACACTCACCGAGTCTCTTGTGAAATGATTATATTTTCAGGCTTCAAGTCCAGGTGAATGATACCCGCCCCGTGAATGAACAAAAGACCCGCAATCAACTGCTGCATGAAGTTACACACCACAGCTTCGGTGTATTTGTCCCCCACAGAATTAATTATATAGGGTATTAGCTGATAGTTTGAGTAAGTAGGCATTACTAAAATATAATTTGTGTCATTTTCAAACGCCTGCAATAGTTTGCAGGTGTATGGACATCGTTGCAATAACTGCATCACTTGACATTCCATTTCTGCAGCGTTTCGGCTCAAAAGATGTTTCGGTATAAATTTTGCCGTGAAATAATTTCGACTTGTCTTGTGCTGAACTGATCTGACCTTTGAAAACCGTCCTCGTGCTATTTCGGCCTCAATGTTGTAGAAAATGTCAAAATGGTCGATGAACTTGAGTGAACTTTGACCCGGCGATGAAGGTTGAATGAAACTTGCCGGAGGACTTTTGGATGAAATTGGCGATGATAAAACGGGTTGGGTTTGGTTGACTAAGTCGTTTATACTGGTTGATAGGGTAGAAACTAGGCTCCACTTTTTGTCTTCTTTCGGGCTCAGTTTTTTCTTCCTTGCACCCGGGGTATTCATAGGAATAGTGTAGGGGTCAGACTCGGGTCCGATTGAAAATAAGCCCATCGAGTTGTGTGAAATGATTCGGAAAATGCAAGTCGCACCCGGCCGAAGTTTGGTGACTTCGAGTTCGGTTTTGCGGATGTTTGCTTCGCCTGCAAAATCGAACTCGCCAGTGTCTTTGTTGAATATTTCGACAGTGTAGCGAGTTATCGGATGAGCTCCCCTAAACACAGTAGCGTGAAAAGTTTTTGAAGCTTTTAGTCGTTTTTTTACTTTTCTTTTAGTCTGATCTTTAGCCTTCTCAGTTACAAGGAAAAAAAATTGCGTTCGGATTCGAATTTTTTTTCTACAACTTGAAAATTTTCATCTGCTAATTAAATTGCTCTTGAAAAAAATGGCGGGGGATTTTTGTCAAAATTAAATTCATAACCGAAAATTTCATCCATCCAGCTATGAAAAACTTCATCATTCATAGTGCTGATATATGCAGCCTCATTTTGGGTTTTTATTTTCTAATATATGTTACGAATATTCGTGCTCGGTTTGACTTTGATATATATATTTTTTAATTTCGCTTTTAAACCAGCGCCTTTTGACAAAATTTTGTACCGTCTCATTTTGAGCTAAAATTATAGAATGTATTTATGCAATTTGAAGAATTAAAACTTTTTGGAGGTTACAAATTGCCCATTTTTGATTATGAACGCGAGGTTAAATTTTTTCTAAGGCGCAAGCGGTCAATATTGTTTTCTTATTTTTTTTATCCGTCAAAAATTCGTGCAGTTTCAGTTCATGCCGTCAATAAATTTTAAAGTTCATGTTAAACGGCTATCGTTGACCATAGTTTCATTAATTTCAATCTCAAAACAAAATTTTCCTTGATTTAGACGAAATGCTGCCCTGTGACTTAATTTTCCAAAAGATGGGAACCTTAATTTCCCAATGGTCTTTTGTGTTGTATTTTGCACAGGTTGATTGAAGAATCATGAGTTTTGTCAAACAAAATTTGCATATTCAATTTAGTCAATTAATGAGCAAACTTTTATTATGTAGAAATTTCGTCTAGGTTGAACGGAGTTTTAATTTCCCAAATGCAACCTTAACTTTTCTTTCGCAATTTTTTAATCTCAAAAGTAAATATCTTTTAAAATGTCAACATTTTAAAATGTCCTGAGTTTTATTGAAATTATCTTCAATTTATTATCATTTTGGGCCTTGGGAGATAAAAACAAATTTTGCCTTATTTAATCTCTTTTTTGGCATCTTCAAATCTATTTAAATCCTTTTGGTATTTGCCATTTATGGGTTGACTATACCAGTTTTGTCATAATAATTTTGAGGAATTGATACATTAGGTGAACGTTCGATGCCAATTATTTGAAGGAAAAAAGTATTACAAATTTTGTTTCTTCTGCTTTCTTATCCAATCATTACCAGTCGACTTAGAATCAATCTATCCTAGCACAAACGGCAATCATTTGAGAAACTTTCATTCAAATAGAATTTAAAAACAGCGACTGTCATTTTATCAAAGATTTTGCAGAAAGAATAATGGACGTTATAAATTTGGTAATTTGGTTTTTGTGCTTTTGAAATGAAGGCTCATTTTAGTTTCTTTTTTCAATGGAGCCTTAAAATTTTTACATCTGCTCAAAAGTAAAAAAAAGAGTCAAATTTGGTCAGATTAAAAAGAGCTTATAAATTAGTCAATTTTGTCAATTTGCTATATTGAATCGGCGCTAAACTTTTGAACTTGACAAATAAATGCGACTCAGAAACTGTTCCAAAACGAATAAAAACAAGACTACTCGTATCAGGGCGAAGCCCTGAATGTTCCGACTGCCTTTTAAGGTCTATGGAGCAGTAATAACTTTACAAAAATAAATGTAATAAAACAAAATGAAAAGAAAAATTAGAATTTTTTTGTGAAAATCATCTCCCCACGCGCCATAAAAAGTACAAAGGGATAGATTTCGCTCCTTGTAACAAATCAATTATGGCAAATAAGCTTCTTTAAACCAATTTAGAACGATTTCTAAGACGGATTAACTCTCCGCTAACGCGTTAATAGCGCGAAAATCATCGCGCGTTAATTGTCCCAAATTGGCCAAAATGTCAATCTTCAAACCACCATAACTTTACGAAAAACGATCACAGCTAAAATATCTTTTCAAATTTGAGCTCAAAACAACAATACGTTTCGAATGATATAAAAAAATTTCGTCAAAAATGGCTAGTTAAAAAGTCAAACTTGTCCGAAGAAAAAAAAACCCACCCCGAGCACAAATATTTCGTTACTTTCGTATCGAAAGTCGGAACAACAAGCTAAATGATCCATTTGTTTCGTTACTAGACGCACAAATGGTCATTTTTTAAATCCGAGTTGCGTGTGAGAAGAGATTGTCAAAAATAAAAATATAACCAAACCTTCGAAAATTGCTACTTTCAGATGGCATAGAAAACCATTTCTCCAATATTGTTGAATGGATAAGTCGAAATTGGCCTGAGGCAAAAAAAAACTACCCAGAGCAACTAAAAATCGTTATTTTTTCCAGAAGTTTATGAACTGAACTTTTTTGTGCCATTTCACGGCTGATCATCCATTTAGCAGGGGAGAGAATATTCTCAGGACTGTTCCCCCATTATGCAGGGCTGTTCACAAGTGAACATGAGTATTTTTCTACAGACGTGGTCGTACCTGGATCTTACATGATCAGACCTGAGTGAAACATGTTCATGCCTGTCGCAGACATGATAACGACTGATGGAAAACTTGACAAATTCATATTTGTTTATACATTACTTCGTATCTTGACTAATTGGTCTTTGTTGTTAAAAATTCACTTTTTCAGATTTTGTTTGAAATGAGCTTATCCAAATTTACCTCCTCGAGTCAAATATCTTCAAATGAAGAAAATTATGTCGCATCTACATCCCAAAAAGGAGGACGTCAGGTTAGTTTCAGGGGGTCAACGAGGATAGTCGAAAAAACTAAGAATCCCCGGTTTGAACTATAAAGCATTGAATTGAAGCAATTCGTCACAAAATTTTTTGGCCAATAATCCTTCAATTTTCGCGAACCAGTAGCCGCAATAATTGCGAATAAATTAAAAAGATTTGATTGGTTGATACTGATGATCTCATTGAATAAATTAATAACAAATGTGAGACTACTTTTTAACGCATGATTTTTGCAAAAATTGATTGGAACATAAAAATCTTTAAATTTTCGCAAACCAGTAGCCACAATAATTGCGAACAAATTAAAAAGATTTGATTGGTTGATACTATTAATCTCATTGAATAAATTAACAACAAATATGCGACTACTTTTCAACGCATGATTTTTGTCTAATTTTATTTGTTAAGCATTTATTTAAAGTGATGAAGTTTTGACTAACAATTAGTTTTATGTTGACAGGAAACAGAGAAAACTATCCACACGCCCCGCTACCAACGACTCCCTGCTGGCAATTAAAGAAAGATGCATCTAACCACTACAGTAAATTTTCAACAAAAAACTTCACCGATGTCAGAAAAAATCTGAAAAAAAAACTAAAAATTTGAAGTAAAGTGTCACATTATCAAGCTGAGTTTATGATGTTGTTACAATTTAACCATTTCTTTAATTATCTTATAATACTGAAGATACCGATTTGAGCATATTCGGTTCAGACATGGTCATGTATCCTGCAGATGTGAGCATGTTTAGTTCAGGTATGATAATGTATCCTGCAGGTGTGAGCATGTTTACTTCAGGTATGATCATGTATCCTGCAGGTGTGAGCATGTTTAGTTCAGGTATGATCATGTATTCTGCAGGTGTGAGCATGCTCAGTTCAGGCATGATCATGCATGCTGCAGGTGTGAGCATATCTTCAGTTAGCACACCTGATGCAGGTCTGATGCAGGTATGTGCATGCCGAATATAGACATGCTGCACATCTGTTACAGACATGAATTTTGCATGATTTTACAATGATCAGATATGATTATGGCCAAAAAGTTCGGTACGGGAAGAGATTGTCAAAAATAAAAATATAACCAAACCTTCGAAAACTGCTCCTTTCAGATGGCATAGAAAATCATTTCTCCAATATTGTTGAATGGATAAGTCGAAATTGGCCTGAGGCAAAAAAAAACTACCCAGAGCAACTAAAAATCGTTATTTTTTCCAGAAGTTTAATTAGCAAATTTTTTAGACATCTGTCAACAACTACAATGCGGAGAGAGAAAATGACCAATCTTGGAAGCTACTTTACCCGAAAACAGCCCACACTGTTTTCATGCTGGAAATTTTCAATGTGATTTTGTCTAATCTGGGCTGCATCGGGAACGTTTTTGTGATGGTTATCATATCAAAATGGAAAAATATCTCATCTGGTGCTGCGTTCATGTTCAGTTTAGCTCTCTGCGATTTTCAGAGCTCGTTCTTTGATGGAATCATCGACCAGCTTCTGCCTCTTGCAGGATTTAGGGATCTCTTTAACTATATGCCCCCTTTTGAAAGAGAGGGGAGATTCGTTAGGTTTAAAATTACCATCTGCTTAATCGTTGATATATTTCTTAATAGGGGGATACTCGTTACTAGATATCCGAGGGGGGATATAGCTAAAGAGATTCGGATTTAGTTTGAAACTGGTAAATGGGACAATGTGCGCCGCTTACACTTTCGTATCAAACCTTACAAGTGTTGTGTCATTTTTCATGACCGCCTTGTTCAGTCTCGACAAATGTTTGGCCACTGTGTTTCCTTTCAAATATCGAGAAATCGGAAAACCCAAAAGTTGCTTCATTGCCACGATAACTGTGTATGTTTTCATCGCTCTGGTAAATATTCCTGTTCTGCTGGTATTTGATTTGGATGAAGAAAAAAGCCAATGCCGAGTATCGAATTTTCGAATCATCAGTCAATCTTTCTTCGAAATTCAAATGCCGATCACGATCATTGTTGTATCATTAATGCCAATATTTATAGTACTATTATGCACGCTTGCTACAGCAGTCAAACTCCATATTGAGCAGCGCAAAAGAGCCACTCGCGGGCATAGCGGCCCGGAAAACAGTTCACCGAGAGACCGACTTGACGCCGAGATAACAAAACAAACGATGGCTGTTTGTATTGTGTTCTGTGTTTTGAGCATCACGACTTTAGTTATGTTTAAAATCAACTTCGATTCCGAGATAAATTCCGCCAATGATGAAGCTATATTCAACCTACGCGACAGAATCAATTCAATCTTTTTGTCAATGGTTTATGCGAGCAATTTTTATTTATATCTAATATTTGGTAAGAAATTCAGAGCGGATTTCAAACTTCTATTCATGAAATGCGAAAACCAATAACGTCGACAGCGAGCGAAAAAATAAGAGACCAAATTAAGACATAAGAAAAATGCAAAATGCAGTCACTATTTCAGACGTGGATTGAAGATAGCGTTGTGAAATGAGATCTCGAACGTTATATAAAATCCTAATTAGTTTATAGCAAAATCATCCATAAAAATATCAATAAATGTTGCAATCTCGTTTTTGGTTGAGCTGACAATAGTCAAGTTTTGTTTTTTACATCAATTTCTTGCTCTAACTACTGGTTTTATAAGGCACAAAGTTTCAAACTTTCCAAAAGATTCTCAAAAATAGCATTTTTGTTAGCACCAGGGGCGGATTTAGGGGGGGAGGGGGGCGGGGGGGATTTCGGACGCTCGGTGAACTGTTTTCCGGGCCGCTATGCCCGCGAGTGGCTCTTTTGCGCTGCTTTGATACTTTTTCAGAAACCCATTTTTGGCCGACCGACCCTAAAATTTTTCTTTCCAAAGGCGCCTTGGGCGCCAATATATACTAACTTTGAGGGGGAGCGCGCGCCAAAAAAAGCGCGATTTTTTTGTCAAAGTTTTTCAAAAAGTGCCCAAAAACGGCTTTTTTTACTGTTTTTTCAAAAATTTGCCTGCGGCACAGAAAATTTTGCCAAAATAGGGGCGAAACAGTGCTTTGGGAGAACTCGAAAAATCAATTTGGTCGACCTAAAAAAAAAAGGTCGTCAAAATTTTCGTTTTTTTTTTTGAAAATCCGCCCCCCCCTCAAGAAAATCCTAGATCCGCCCCTGGTTAGCACTATTACAAAAAGTTAGCCTGCAGCTCAGAAATCTTCGGTGCGATTGGGTCTTTATCAGGGGCGAATCTAGGACTTTCTCGGGGGGGGGATTTTTTTTGGTCGACCAAATTGATTTTCCGATCTCTCCCAAAGCACTACAAAAACCCTGAAAAATGGATATCAAAATGGGATATCTCAAAATAGTACAAAGGGGGACCCTTTGGGTCGGCAGGGGGTCGAATCCCTGAAAAAAAACGTCCAAATCAGCCGTGAAAAAAAAACGGACAAAAGTTGAGAGTCGACAAAAAAAGACCGAGTTTTTGAAAAATGATAAACTTACGAAAAGTTTGCCAACCTGAAGTTGGGTTGTTTCCAGGAGACGATGACGGACGCCTTCGTTTTCAACCTCACTTCCGCCTTGCCAGGAGGTCCTGGGTAGTTCCGGTCCACATGGCCATAATGACCCCCCAAACTTGGGTCCCGGCTGCGGGTCAAAGTATTCCATTGGGGCTTTTTCTCAACCTAGAAAAAATGCATAGTTAAGAATTAAATAATTAGATCTGATATACAATTTCAATTATCAAAATTCAAAACCAGGAAGTTTAAGTTAGCAATCAAAGAAATTAAGAGGCTAAACTGTGCACTGGATAGGCGCACACTTTTGTGTCTGTATGTTCCTGGATTCCAGAGACAAATCTTTAAACCTGTTCCAAAATGTAAGTGAATTTCGTAAATTTTGTCGGCATTTCTTTTTTGGATTCCGCAATAAGCAAATATAGCTAGTGGTTCTAGATTCCGCAACTGTGAGTGGATTCCGCAAAATGTAAGTGGAATCCAAAAAATGTAACGGGAATCCGCAAAACTTGTAAGCGGAATCCGCAAACTGTAAGTGGATTCCGCAATTTCGTTTATTGAAACTTTCCTAGTAAATTTTACCGATTCCCGATAATTTTTTTAAAAAAAAGATTTCAGAAATCGTCCTTTTTGATAACGAGACGTGAACAATAAACGATAATGAGATCCCTGTAAATCTCAAGAGAACTAAAATAAAATATTAAAAGTAGTCACGCAAAAATAGTGGCTCAAAACTCTCCTTGAAACCAAAACGAAATCAAGCTCAACTTGACTGCCTCAAATGATTAATTCAAAAGGGTATCGGATAGAAGCTGATAACCAAACGTGCAAAAAAACTCCTGAAAAAATTTGCAGTTTTTAATTTTTATGGACATTTAAATTTGCGTTTTACCCTTTTGCTAAATTCACAGATCATTTAAAATATTTAATGTTGTCTAGAATACATGGTCAAAATTTTGGATAGCCTTTTGAAAATCTGCCAATCCGCCCTCGAGAAAATCTTAGATCCGCCCCTTCATACATCTAAGAAGCTCATAGGTTCCTATTTTTATGATTTCTCTGTGTTTTTTATACTTCTAAAACATTGTATTCTAGATAAAAATTAATTTTGTTGTATGATCTGTAAGTCGAGCAAAAGGATACAACGCTAATTCAAAAGCCCATATTTTTTCAAACTGAGAAAAATGTTTGGTTAGTTTTTGCAAGTTTGGCTATGAATTTTTATCCGACAGCTTTCTGAGTTAGGACCGAGTTGGTTAACTCATAGAGTAATTTCGGATAGGGTACACCGTCTGCTCGTCACGCTATCTTATTTTCGGCCGGATAGATTCGTGCAACTTCTTAGTCTAATACCGATCCTAATCTTACTCTTATACTATCTAGTCTCAGGTTGTTTAACTAGTCTCTGCTAGGCTCAATAGATCTAGGGTATACTGGTTTATTGCGGTTGCTGAAGTGCTCGGGAGAGTCCAACTAATTTCTAAGTTAAATTCAAATCTCTCTGGTGCTGAAATTACAAGTAACTTCAGCACTTACAAATAAGTGGGTTGTTAGTTAGATGGATCATGATTGGTTAATATTAAATACTTTACATTGGTAAAATATCTAAATTATCCAATCATAAAATGTAGTTTAGATCAGGTTCCACCCATCCGGGTTTTACAGAGTTTTTTAGAATAGTTCTTCTGCAATTCGAAGGATGGATGATGGACGTTGGTGTTTGGCGAACATCTTATTTCTTCTGTTTCCTTTTTGTTAAAGAAGTTCCAGGAAGCTGGAGTTAGAGACATAAGACGTTGTGTCTTCTAGTGACAACGACTAAGTCTTCGCAACAAACTCAAATCTGATTTCAGAATGGTTGGCTATGTCAGGTTTTTCTGTTCTGCGTGGAGAACTTCTTTTGTGTCTGATCTAGTTTGGGAATGGCGTGGAGATTGTGCGTGGAGGGGATGCCTGGTTACTCGGATCTGTACGTATACTTGAACATCGAGGTGGTCATTGGTCTAGTTCAATGAAGTCCTTTTCTGCGAAGTCAAGTCGTACTCTAAATCCTTTGAGTTGTGATTGTGAGTGGCATATCGATTGTGGTTGGTCATTCTCTCTCGAGTGTAGTGGGGTCGTTTTGTCTTTAGATGTTCGTCCTTGGTGTTGTATTCTGATCTATGTATTGCATAATGTAATTTACATTTTATAAAACATTTATTAGTTTAATATTTTTTAATTATGATTTTAGTTAGTTGTTTTCACAAAAGCTTTTTGTTTTAGTTCGGTTATTTTGAAGAGTTACTCACACTTGAGTAGCTCTTATTAAAAATAGAGGTGTGGTCACAAAGCGTGGATGTAGCACGGTGGGTTAGGCCGGCTATAGAGCATGCTCAGGACGTCCTTCCTGGTGGGTTAGGCCAGGAGTGGGAGTATGATTTCATGCGGTTTTTGTGAGGGGTCCTGTTATGTGACAACGTTTTATGTTGGGTTTGTTGTGGTTTTTCTTATGTCTTGTTGGTTATGTCCTTTTTCCAAAAAGCAAATTGTTTGTGGTATGGGTTTGTCTTTCGACTTTTTTGTGTTTTATTATTTCTTTCTTAGACTTTATAATAGTCTTCAAAAGAATAAATTATCCAGTTTTAAACTGGGTTAATCCGGTTTGGGTACCGTTGGTTTCCTTTTCTTAGTCATGCTGTTATTCTATGATTTGTGGTATTTAGTAAGCTGCGTTGGTTAGTTTTGTTTAGTATATGATTCCTTTCCAACCGGGTTAAAGGAAAGTTTGAAACATGTTATTATATGTTAGAGTTGTTGAGTGTGAAAACTTGAAACTGAAATTCATTATTTTAAACAATTCTTCGTGGGCGAGCTGTGCGAGTGTGGATAGAATTTCTGTGCGAATAAATGAGAATATCAAAAGGTTAGTACTGCATTTGTATTTTATTAATTTACTGCATAGAATTTGGAAATTTACTGCTAGTTATGGGGGAATTTTAAGTTACAAATTTTCATCATAATTAGATTTACTGCTTGTGGGGAAAATTTTAGAAATGAATTTATTGCATTGGTATTAAATTTATAAATTTATAAGTGTAAGAGATTAATAGAATTTTTGAAATCTGTTTGATGAAATTTGCGATCTTTATTTGTTTTTTGTGGTTTTTGTAGGTGATCGTCGGATGAAGGCTAAAAATCTAAGGAAAACATGGATAAAGTATGGTGAGTTTTTTAATATTTCAATTAGTTAGTTATATTCATTTAATTCATACTTACCTGTTAGTCGTCGGGGAAAAAACCGTGGGGGAAGATGTCGTGAATTAGTTCTGAAGTTGTTAGTAGTTTAGCTAAGATGCGGATGATATTTTTAGTTTGAAGCAGTGGCCAAAGCAATTGAAGTGCCTTAATAGTGGTTAGTTCTTCAGTGCCAACTGCAAACTCATAAGGTGTGTTTTGGATTAGATTATATAATTTGTGATTGAATTTAGTGTTGTGGATGAATTCTAAAATTGGGATTTCTATGGGTTGTACAAACTCGTGCGGGATAAGGAAGGGTCGGGATTCTTCGGCGTTGAAGGTCTTGGTGATGGGACAGAAGATGTACATTTGGGTTATGGGGTCATAATTACGAAGAATACCATGAAGGTTAGTATCTTTAATGCAATATGTGAAATTTAGGAAAAATGGTGAAGTGTATTTGGAATTAATGAATTGAAAACGATGGTGTGGTTGTCTAGAGGGTGTGTGTAGGTCAAAGTGATTTTGGATGAAGCGATAATAACTATATGTGTGGGTTTGTTTAGTGCGCAACATAATATCGTGTGAGCAGTGTAAATCTCTTTCGTGTGGTGCAAGGAAATGAAAGGTTAGTGAAAATATTTGGAAGCGTTCTTTGAAACTTTCGTATGCTTGTGTGTCTATTAGTGCTTCTGAAATAATGTGATCAAACTTTCGGTCGAAGATGTTTAGTGTAAATATATATGGTGTCTTGATGAAAAATTTCTCAGTAATTTGTGGATTAGCGAAGCGATCGTCGTCTAAGAATTGATCTTGGTTAGCTCTGATGATGTTGTGATCATAGTATTCGAGTGTATATTCGTTAGCTCTAGGTGCAGTGTGTGTTTTTAGTGATTTTTTATATCCAACGTAAGTAAATTGTCTAGCGGTTAGTGGTGTAGTGAGTCGATATAGCATGTCCGTATTTCGCTCTATATCGATGTGAGTGTTAGATAAAGGTAAGCAAAGAGGGTTAGTAAAATGATAATATGAGGTCCAAGAGAGAGTGGGCATTAAAACGTATTCATCTACAAAGTTGCGTGTTTCGTTAGTGTCGTGGGGGGTGTTTAAGGTGTATTGTGGGAATGAGGGTAAGGTGATGGCTAAAAATTCTTTTGTGTTAGTATGCTTGGGGTGGTTGATGTATTCACGGGCTGTTCCTGGTTTTGTTGGGAAAGGATGGTTGGGGAACTTTCTTTTAAAAGTGCGGTAAGCTCTATTAGTGTTGAGTGAAGATTCAGTTGATGTGGATGATGGTGCTAATGATTCAGTATAATTTGAAGAGGGTGTAGGGGTAGGGGGGTTGGATGAATTTATAGTGGAGGAGATTTGGTTTATGGTTGGGGTATGGAGGTGGTAGGGTTGTTGTTGAAGGGTAATAAAATTATCTAGCTCTGGGGAGATTCGGGGGGTGGCTGGAGAATGAGATGATTGGTCAGAATGGTATGAGGAGTAGGTTGGGGTAACTTGGGAAGCATAAGAGGGTGTGGGAGTGATTGGTTCAGGGTTATTGGATAATATGGGTTGAAAAGGGGGTTGAGAAAAATTTGGAGAGTTATGAAAATTATTGGATGGGGATGGTTCTGAGTCGGCAAATTCATCGGGGGTTTCAATATTCGGATTATTGAGTTGTGAGATGGAATATAAAACTGAGATGTGTGAATTAGTGTCGGAATTCATGCCTGATGTTACATTACTAGATGGAAAATCGGGTGGCGGAAAAGCAAAAAGTGGTATTATTGGGATTGGAGAGGTAAGATTGGTTGGATGGGAATTTGATCGGTGTAGTGATCCAAGTTGGCGGCTCATCGTGGGCTAAAAAAATGATTATTTTGAGACTGAAAAGCGGTGGTATGGGGTTGTTCAATAATTTGTTCATAAGTATTATCATCTTGTGACTGGTGTGTCAT